GACAGGTGAGACCATGGACGTTGCGGGATAGGTAGTGGCTGCAGAAGACCGGATGGCAGTTCCTTGGGGGTCTTAGATTGCACGCAAACTTGGCAAGCTTTCACGTAATTGGTTACATCTCTGTTCATGGTTGGCCACCAGAAAGCATTGTGGATTAACTTGATGGTGTGTGAGATACCTGGATGACAGAAGTATGAACCCATTGCATGACCCGTTGTCGTAGATCCTGGGGAACATATTGTTTGTTCGGGGGGCACATAGCGGCCTGAGGATTTTGCTGTGTGGCTCTTTGGATCTCCTCCATGATGTCCCAGTTTACAGGAGCGATAATTACAGAGGAAGGAAGAATGGGTTCAGGAGAATGATCTTGGAGAGGAGGATCATGACACCTGGAGAGGGCGTCTGCCTTGCAATTCTTACTTCCTGGGCGATAGGTGACAGTAAATTGAAACCTTGAAAAGAACAGTGACCATCTGGCCTGACGTGGGTTTAGTCTCTTGGCACTTTTCACATACTCAAGATTCTTGTGATAGGTGATAACCTGGAACGGGTGAACGGCTCCCTCCAACCAGTGTCTCCATTCCTCTATCGCAGCTTTCATGGACAGTTATTACCAACATCATAGTTTCTATTGGCTGAAGTGAGTTTTCTTGAAAAGAATGCACACGGGTACAATTTAGCTGGTTGACCATTGCGCTGTGACAGTACTGCCCCAATTCCACAGTTTGATGCATCCACCTCCACTACAAATGGGAGGTTAGGGTCAGGATGTTTCAGGATAGGTGCTGAAGTGAAACTTGTCTTGAGTTTTGTGAAAGCAGTGGTGGCTTCGCTTGTCCACTTTAACTTGGACAGCCTCCCCTTCAGAAGAGACGTCAACGGGGTGGTGATCGTGCTGTAGTTTCTGATGAAACGCCGGTAGAAGTTGGCAAAGCCTAGAAATCTTTGAAGTTCCTTGATTGTGGATGGTTGGGACCATTCCGTGACTGCCTGGATCTTAAAAGTGTCCATCTCGACTCCTTGATGACTGATGTGATACCCCAAGAACGTGGTGTTCTGGACATGGAACTCACACTTTTCCGCTTTTACATAGAGTTGGTGCTTAAGGAGACGAGAGAGGATGTCCTGGACATGTTTGATGTGTTCAGCTTCAGACTTGGAGTAAATCAGTTTGTGAATGAGCTGTTGAGGGATGATTGTGTTGAATGCTGAACTGAAGTCTATGAACAGCATTCTGACGTATGAGTCATTTTTGTCCAGGTGTGTGAGTGCTGAGTGGAGGGTATAATAAAATTATAACTGTTTTAAACACTTTTGACCTGATTCAGCATGTGCATGAACCCACACACAATCGTGGACATACTGTACTCTAGATTTAATCATCAGTAGAGGTCTAAACATTTCATCCATTGTTATTAAGGACGTAGCACTAGGGCTGTGCAAAAAATCGAATGCGATTTTCATGCGAATCTCGATCAGTAAAGTCGCTTATGGTGATTAGTAGTAAATCTCCAGCACGTGCCATCAGAAGGAGTGGCATTTGGAGTGTTTTTTTTGCCCAGCCTTACGTAGCACTATCTGATAACTTCTGTATGATGATATCTGCTACCACTGAATCTAGATACAGTGCAGATATAATGATAATGATTGCAAAAAAAAGATTTGTAGTGCAAAAGAGCTTATTCAGACTGATTGATGTCCAGGTGTGTGAGTGCTGAGTGGAGGGTATAATAAAATTATAACTGTTTTAAACACTTTTGACCTGATTCAGCATGTGCATGAACCCACACACAATCGTGGACATACTGTACTCTAGATTTAATCATCAGTAGAGGTCTAAACATTTCATCCATTGTTATTAAGGACGTAGCACTAGGGCTGTGCAAAAAATCGAATGCGATTTTCATGCGAATCTCGATCAGTAAAGTCGCTTATGGTGATTAGTAGTAAATCTCCAGCACGTGCCATCAGAAGGAGTGGCATTTGGAGTGTTTTTTTTGCCCAGCCTTACGTAGCACTATCTGATAACTTCTGTATGATGATATCTGCTACCACTGAATCTAGATCTGTCTCTGTCAGAAAGAGATGCATTAACGAGAACACTAGTGTGCTATTTATGGAGGCTATATCTTTAACACCTAGCATTTCTGCAGACTCTGTTGATCGTCTCCTTGATTCCTTTAATTCAAAAGTTAAGAATGTTATTGATGATATTGCTCCTGTGAAAGTCAGCAAGAAGACTGGCAGACAAAAATCAGCTTGGAGGAAATCAACAGCAGTACAGAGTATGAAAAGACAATGCAGAAAAGCTGAGCGGATGTGGCAGAAGACGAAACTTGAAATCCACTAATGTGGAACTAGCCACAGCTAGACAGAGTTTCTTCTCAAACCTTATAAACAGTAACTTAAACAACACTCACACTCTTTTTGCTACTGTTGAGAGACTGACAAACCCCCCAAGTTTGGATTCCCAGTGAAATGCTCTTTGACAACAAATGCAATGAGTTTGCATATTTATTTTCTGAGAAGATCAATAATATCAGGAATGCGATTAGCACATCCTCAAGTTATGCAGAGGTCAGACAGATTCGACCGCAATATCAAAAAGAAGATACAATGTTTATTTTGAAGCAATTGATAGCAACATTTTGGAAGAAATAGTGCAGCACCTAAAATCGTCAACCTGCTATCTTGACACACTTCCCACAGCTTTTTTTCAAAAGGGTGCTTAATTGTTTAGAAGCAGATCTCTTAGAAGTGGTGAATGCCTCACTTCTCTCTGGGACGTTTCCAAACTCCCTGAAAACTGCAGTTGTTAAACCCCTTCTGAAAAAGAGCAATCTTGATAACACCATATTGAGCAACTATTGACCAATATCAAATCTTCTTTTTATAGGCAAGATTATTGAAAAGATAGTCTTTAATCAGCTGAACAAATACTTAAACTCAAATGGATACCTGGACAATTTTCAATCTGGTTTCCGACCATATCACAGCACAGAGACAGCACTCATTAAGATATTAAAATGATATTCGCTTACATTCTGATTCTGGCAAAATATCAGTGCTGGTACTACTAGATCTCAGTGCTGCGTTTGACACTGTCGATCATAACATACTTCTAGAGAGACTGGAAAACTGGGTCGGGCTTTCTGGGATGGTACTCAAATGGTTCAGGTCATACTTAGAAGGGAGAGGTTATTATGTGAGTATAGGAGAGAAAAAGTCTAAGTGGACGTCCATGACATGCGGAATCCCACAAGGCTCAATTCTTGCACCGCTCTTGTTTAGCCTGTATATGCTCCCACTAAGTCAAATAATGAGGGTATCACAGCTATGCTGATGATACCCAGATTTACCTAGCCTTATCGCCAAATGGCTACAGCCCCATTGACTCCCTCTGTCAATGCATTGATGAAATTAGCAGTTGGATGTGCCAAAATTTTCTTCAGTTAAACAAGGAGAAAACTGAAGTCATTGCATTTGGAAACAAAGATGAAGTTCTTAAGGTGAATGCATACGTTGACTCTAGGGGTCAAACAACTAAACATCAAGTCAAGAATCTTGGTGTGATTCTGGAGACAGACCTTAGTTTCAGTAGTCATGCCAAAGCAGTAACTAAATCAGCATACTATCATCTCAAAAACATTGCAGGAATCAGATGTTTTGTTTCCAGTCAAGACTTGGAGAAACTTGTTCATGCCTTTATTACCAGCAGGGTAGACTATTGTAATGGTCTTCTCACCGGCCTTCCCAAGAAGACCATTAGACAGCTGCAGCTCATCCAGAATGCTGCTGCCAGAATTCTGACAAGAACCAGAAAATCTGAGCATATCACACCAGTCCTCAGGTCTTTACCCTGGCTTCCAGTTATATT